AAGCCTCCGCTCTGCAGGGCCAGGAAGCGTCCCTGTGGCGGGGTTGGTGCGGAGGGAGCCGGGGGTCCCGGGGCTGGTGTCGGGGGCTGCGCGGGGCGGGCTGCGAGGGCCTGGCAGCGGGGGCTGCTGCTGATGGGTTCGCGTTGGGGTCTGTGGGGTGAACTGAGCGCTGCCCCAGAGCGCTGGTGATGGGCTGGGTGGCACCGGGTGCCTGGGGTAGAGATTGGGGATCCTCGGTCCTGCTTCAGGCCGGGTGAGATTTTGTCTTCGTAAACACGCTATGTCTTTTGCTGACAACCCCCTGCTGCAGATGGGGTCAGGATCATGCAGATGCGCAGGATGATAATCAAATTAGGCAGAGTATCCTATAGGTGTACACGCAGACTTGGTTTTCATGGCACATAGTTAGGTGAATAGCTGATACGTGATCTACAAATGGGTCTGTCGTAACATTTTCTAAATGTAAAAACTCTTATAGAGAGTTCATGCTAAACCATGTGTCCAGGTGAGGTTTTTTTCTGGTACAAAGAACCCTGGAGCTCAATTTCCTGTATTATTAAAGCATGGCCTGGGTGGCCTTAAGCAAGTCCTGCAGACTCTGTGGCTTAACTTCCCCAACTAAAAATAATTGAGCCAGGGCTGTTGATCTACTTTGTAAGGTACTCTGGGCCTTGTTATTTGAAAGTACAGATTTCAACAACATTTTCTATAATTTAAGAGAACCACCATAATAATTGTAACTACACTTATTTGAATACGTGCGCCTTAATAATCACTAACAGCCCTTCTGCTGTACAACATAGAGCATTTCTGTAAAAACATCAGGTGAAAACTTAGCTTGTTAATTTTCCAGTGAGCTGTGTAATTTCAGGTTATGCTTACAGAGTAGAATACATTTAGCATTGTTTATTAACTTAAAATATGCAGTTTGCAGTGTGGCTTTTTCCCCACTAATTTTTACTTGAATGTGTACATGTGTTTTATGTTTGTATAATAGGTGAAAATACATGACATACGGAAATAGGTACCTGGTACCTACATTGTTACTGTAAATAATTCTAACTACCTCTTGTAAGGGTACATTTTCTTTATTTCCAGACACAATCTTAGATTATTAAGAGCAAAATATAGCTTTATATGGAACTGCAGATTTTGGAGTCTCCGTGAAATGAAAATAAGGTGTTAGACATTGTGTATTGTTTATATAACTAAGAGTAATACTCTGCTTTTCTTGTAGTCTAGTTTCTGAAGTTAAAGGGTACTATCTACATGTTGTGGACGATTTCCATATTTTCATAGAATATGTTACCTGAATCTTAGCCTACACCACAGTCCTTCACTCCGCCATTTGTCATGTGTTGCTGTGTATATGTGCGTAACAAATCCCTACTGAATCTTACCTAACTCTGCTCTTAACATAATAATAGGTGTCTTGTGAGTCTTTGGTAATGTTCTGTAATTGTTAATAAACTGTAATGACAGATGTTATATATGGAACACAACAGAATACTTGAAATAATGGGAATATTGGGAATGCAGCCTTTGAAGATTATCAGAATACTGTAAACTTGTATCCATTAGATAGTTAACGTACATATGAAGCTTGAGAACATACATCACATTAGTAAGATGTAGTTTGGAGGGTGAAGGAATTCAAGAAACACGTAGATGTGGCACTTAGGGCATGCTGTAGTGATCAGGGTTGTAGGGGCTTTTTTTGGTGGGTGTTTTCTGGTGGGGTGTGTGTGGTTGTTTTTGCTGGTTTGTGGGTTTTTTTGTGTTGATGCTTGGACTTGGTTATCTCAGAGGTCCTTTCCAGCCATGACAATTCTGTGAATTAACCAAAACCTTTGTATGTTTTCCTGGAAGGGTAAATTTATTTTCAAGCTGATTGTTTCTGAATTTGCTGAACAAATGCATCAGTGTCATGGTGTGTTGTAAATTCTGTTATTCTGAGCTCATAGAATTTCTTCTTGACAGAAGAAATAGCAGTTCGTATGAAGAGTAAGAGAGAATTTCTTTTGTGGTGGTACCAGCCAAAGCAGATGAAGGGACTTTGTGTAAGAGGAGACTTTCATTATTGTCTGTGTAAATGGCCTTAGTAGTAAACGGTTACATATAAATTGAAATTTGCAAAGCAGATAGATAGAATGCTGTTTGCATTACAGCTGGTATGACTTTTATTCAAATCTGGGTGCTTATTTTTCTAGGAAGCTTCTAGGAAGGTTTCAGCCTGTAGTCATGGTATTTTCTTGGAAAAAGTCCAAATGGTACACTTCTAGCTGAGAATGCTGTTTTGAGTATTGTTAAAACTAATAATCAGGCAATTTGAATAAAAAGGGGTTTATGCAATTTGAACTGAATTAAGTATTTAATGACAGATCATTAAGTAAAACTGGTTTTGATGAACTGAATTACATTCAGGAATACTCATATATTAATTTTGATCCTTTGTGTTGTTTTATCTGTTTAAGTTTCTTAGACATCTGGATTCAGTTTTCTTATACAATTTATACAGGAATGAAGTCAAGGCAAGGGAAAATTCAGTGTTTGTTTTCACTTGGAAATCAAACAAAAAAGTGACTGTTCCTTTGTAAGCGCTTTTTGTATATAGTGACAGGGTTTCTTATGTGTTTTAGGCCTACATGTCTACATGAAACCGTGCTATTGGAAAATGTTTCCCATAATTTTTTTTTACATCATTTAGCAAATGGCAGATTGCTTGGTATCTTCCATTTAAATCAAGTATGGAAATAGTAGAAGCTGTTGTGTTTTTTTTTCATAGAAAAATGAAGCATAAAATAAAGTCCTCCGTTTTGCCAATGCTTTCATAAACCAGATACACAAGAGATTATATGTAATACTTTATTTTCTTGGTATGGTTTCTGGTGAATCTTTAGAGCCAGGAAAAATAATAGGAACAGGCAGAAAAGAGAGAGAACATAGAGTACTTCAGTGGCAGCACCCCAGGAATGCTACTTGTTCTACAGAAGGGATTCTGCAGCTCTGGCAAGTTCTGGCTCAGTGTTCCTGGCTGTGCTAGGTAGCCAGTTTTTTGGCCAGTTATGTTTAGCAGAGCTGATCCAACTTTCTACTCTTCAGTGAAACTGCCAGTGTTTTCAACTGGCAAATAGGCATTTTCCAGGAAATCTGACACTGCCTTTTTTACCATGAAGCCCTTTTTGGCTGTGATATCTCTTAAATTTAGTTTTAGGACAGCAAATTCTTGAGCTTGCAGGATGAGGATGTTCATTGTTTTGGCAGCTAGAATGTATTTGGCACCAAGTAATATTCAATTGGTTTTGAGATTGTCCTTGCCTACAGTGAGAAATAATTGAATTTTAATAAAGTCAAGGAAGCTAATACTCTCTTACAAGTATTTCTTTATTAATAGTATGTAGAAGTTACTAGTATAAAATTGAATCAGGTGCTTTTTGATGGTAAAAAGAAGGCTGTTCTTGAACTTAGATTTCAGTCCAAAACTGAAAAGAAGTATTAGGGAGATTATCTAGTTCTATGTTGGTACTTCAGCTGTAGATAATTCAGCATATGCAGGATTTATAGCTTTATATTTTGAATGCTCTATAATAGTATTTTAAGCTTAACAGCAAAGACATGCAAAAAGTTATCATTTAGAAAGATGAGCTTGATTAAGGTCAGAAGTGAGTAAGTCTGTTCATATTCACACTTTTGAAAGATGAGGCAGCTAAGAGATGGGAGTGCATTTTTTCCTTCTTCCCACCCTGTGCTCCAAACTTTGCAGGATTTATAGAAGTGTTTTATTTTTAGAAAATCTGTATCTACCAATCTATTTCTTTAACAATTTTCTATCAAACAGCCTGCCCTTCCCCATTCCCAACCAAAACAAACTTAAACTGGCTTATTAATTTAGACAGTTTTCCCATGAAAAATCCTTCTGAGGTCTCCACCACAAGCATCAGTAATCTGCCAGGTCACTGAAAAAAGTCTCTGTGAGTGAAACATGAATGGACAAATTTTTAAAAATACTGTAATTTTGCAATCATAAAGTTGGTGATGTTTTTCCTCTACAGTTGTGGTATTTCAATTTTACACAGTAAGAATTTGAGGTATTTTGCCCTCTGTCATCTCTGTTTACTAATTTTATTTGATTACCTCTGTGAATTGCACAGCATAATAAGCTGGTGTGCACAGTTACACAGAGCATAGTGATCGCAGAGGGAGAGGCAAAGGTGACAAGACAAAACTGGCAAGCAGGTTTAGGATTCAGCACAATGCAAGACAAAAATATTGCTGATTTGTGCAAGGTTTTACACCAAAACTCACTTTTATGTAATGCTTCTCTAAAATATAGCCCTTTGTAGCATAGGATGGTACCAGTTGTTCTAAAATGTAAATTTGCATAGTTTATATAACTGAACATGAACAAACACTATACAAACAGAGCAATGAAAAAAGTTGCCAGATATCCTGCAGGAAGCAAGTATCAAGTTTACTGATAGTCCTGTTGACTGTAGCCATGGACAGTTCAGCCTAATCTTTTCAGCCTAGAGTTGACAGCTCCTAAATAAAATCTTTACTCTCTGTTTTAAAAGGAAACAGGACAGAAAAAAACATGTGACTAATCTTCCTTTTCCCATCCGTTTCCATATACCTGTTAGCATAGATAATTGTTCTGCCTCTGATTTTTCCAGTATGCAGAGAACCACCAGGCTCTGCCCTTGGTGTAGCACCATGTATTTCATGTGCTCTGCTGACATTGATGGTTCTATTACAAAAGTACAGTGGTGAATATAAATAGATCTATGTTAATTTTAAGGCCTGCTGGAAACACATGACAAAGGAATCGATTCTGAAGAGGAAAAGGACATATATTTTAATGTCAGAAATTTTACTGTTGGCGTTTGAGCACGACACCCTTCGGGTTTGTTTTTTTTCCAAATCAGAAGCTAATCCATGCATCCTGTGTTCCTTTGTTTTAAACGCCACACCTTCCAGTCATTGCAGCCCTGTCCCTTTCGCTTGAGTGACTGCCACTTAGCTGACATGGCTTGTGAGCATTGTGTGTACGACAAAATAGAGAATTGAGACCTAAAGTTTGATTGCTGTCTCCTTAGGCAATTCAAATAACAGCTAAAGAATTTCTGCTAGAGGTTTTGAGAGTCAACTGCAAAATCGGTAATTTCTTAACAGGATGATACAAATTTGAGTTCACCTGCTTTCAGCTAAGGGAGGAGAATATTGCAATCTAATCTGCCTAAAAACAAGTCATAGCAGCTCCCTCGCTAACTTCCCCATTGTGTTTGTGGTTTCCCTTTGAGCTACAACATCTGGTTCAGAAACGTAAAGCCTTGGTTAAAAAACTGTGGTGTTGAAGAATATTGCAAATCAAGTATTCCAGCAGCTACTTGGTTTCACTTGAAAAAATGTGTATTGCTTTTTCATTAGTCTGTATAAAATTTGTTTTCTGCTTTAATTCTCTTAAATGGCTGCATTTTGAAAATTGGATGTACTTGTTTGAGAAAAAAAAAGTCTCCAGAGCTGCATCTTTTTCTGTGCTGTGGTTCTGTGTGATATTTTGGGGAGTTGATTTAACATCTCACTCAGTCAGCAATTCAGGGGCTTTTTCATGTTCGTGAGTTGCTTTTGTGCTTTTTGTCAGTGGGAGTAGTTAAACACAGTCTTGATTCTGTTTGCTTTTTTTAGATTCTGCTTTTAGTCTTTTTAATTATGCGTTCCTACAGTCATTATCAAGTAGTAAATATAATTGCAATAATAAAACAATATCACAGTTTGACATAGAAGTTGTTGAAATTTCAGGAGAAGAAACTCTTTTAAAAAGTTTCATTTTCACATTGTTTGAAATTTATACAAGCTTTTCTTTGTTAGGTTGGATGTGTGAGATCTGCTTGTCTGCCAGATCTCCTTCATGCATTTCCAGAGTATTTCCACACAAATAGGCTTAATCAGCTTTTAGAGGGTGTCTGTTCTGTAACAGGAACTCCCAAGTGAGCCACAGCTTTGGCTTTCAAGTGAAAAGGAAGAGAAACTTTGAAAAAATTATCAGGTCTTCGAATTGTGAAGAGAGGATGTCAGATGGAACAGTTCAGGAAAAGTCCCTGTCCCTTTTCCATGACTTACACCCCTGCTTTTGACTCAACATTGTATTGCAAGGGATTCAATCAATTACTACTGGCTATGTGCTTTCTTTCAGTGTTTCCAGGCATTTGGGCCTGTGAAGTCCCTTGATGCAAATCCCCAGTGCTTCTTTTTCTTCTATGTGTACAGGGAGAGATTGGATTGATGTTAGTTAAAAGGATGAGAGTCTGAATCATGTGTTGTGAGATAAAGCAGCCTGCCTGCTATTCCAATTGTAATTTTTAAACTATATGTTAATTTAGATAATAATTTGATGTTATTTTATTTATGTATTTATTTTCTTCTGGAGAGCTTGGAACACACAGTGAGGATGAGCTTGTCAGGAAAAAATGTTTTAGAAACTAGAAGAATAGATGAGAAAAGCAGTCTTTTAAATAGTACTTGAAATTAGTTCTCATTACCTAACTGTTAACAGCTTTGTTTTAGGAAGATGAAAGTGTTGGTTCTTGAATATGCTTATATATCAAGTCAGGCTGCTAAGGCACCGTTCTTTTCACACTAGATGTCAGTGTTAACATACCTGTTCTGTGACCTCAGGTGTAGTCATTCTGTTGTCCTCGTGGATACACCTGTATTTAATACTTTGGTTACAATTTCTTGTCAAAATGCCAAAACAGTGACCAGAAATAGTGATTTGTATGTTGATCCTTAGTGGGTGGCTGTCAGTAAATCTTTTTCTTGTGAAACTCCTATCTTTTCTGCCCTCTATTGTACCAAGTAAACCCAGGAGAACCAGGCTGATCTTTGTTAAAACATCTGCTACAATCTTTCCAATACTTGGATTTTCCTTTCATCTTAGTTTTGAATAAGATGGCCTTGAAAACCTGATAGGTAAGAAATGAGTGATAACTGTCTCACTTAAAATTAAATCCATGGGATCATCATAGCTGGTTTTTTATCCTTTCAAACTGTAAATAATTAGCTGACTAGCAGTAGTTTGTGAGATGTCTGATAAGGTCATTTGTTAATGTGTTACTTGACCATGTTGTGAGACTACTCCAAGGCATGTGGTTATTCGCCTTGTTTCTTTTTTGGTTTACAGAATTTTTTGTTGGTCGCCCGTGTTTCATCTGGGACTTCTGTAATGGTGACCATAACGTAAATTTCCTGGTGGTTGAAATTGGTCCTGTATATCAGGAAGTACAGTCACTGTTTTCTGCCTGTGGCTCTAATGGTGACCACAGCCTATCTTCCAGAATAAAAAGCCTCGCTTGAAGGTATTGTGGTTAGTAATAATAAATAGTGTGACATGATGAGCAGTGGATTAACCACTGTTGTTTTTCTGTCCTTAGCTTCTGCAGAAGCTATTGTTCTGTTTCTCTATAAATTAACTGTTGCTTGTTTACATTCTTCTTAGTGTATTTTTTCCCTCAGGATTTTAGCTATCAGTAGGTTTGTTACACTGTGCTCTATTCTTTTCAATGCCACGTCTAAGTGTCCAGAAATACTTCCTTTGATATCAAGAGAAGAGGAGCTGGCAAATGTCCTACAAAGCATTTGTTATTTTGGGGACCTTGGACTCAAAGAAGGCAGTGGTTGGGTTCAAGGCCCAAGGTTTTATTGGAATAGAAGCTCAAATGTTTTTCAGACAACTTGTTCAAGTTTTATTGTAAGAGTAGATGTAGCTCAAACATATATATTGGTCCCATTTATTCACAATGAGAAGTAGTATGCTTCTAAAATAACACATTTAGTTCCTGTAAGTTGTTATAGGCTGGAGAGGCTCAGGTGGTGGCAATGGGGCTTGGCAGGCTGACCCAGACTGTGTTGCTATAGCTAAGGAACTTGGTGGCCACAGAAACTAGCTGGGTGCAGGTGGGAATGCTGTAGAGATATGCTCTGCTTGGAGTTTGTGCATGACTGCATCTACAAATTATGAAGTGAGCAGTTAGCTTCCGTTTTTGGATGTATAAGGAAGGGAAGTATTGGCCCTACAATTAGAAACACAGTATGTTTTTCATATGAAATTTTAAAGGCAAGACAACAGAATTTGATAATGTAATTTCCCTTTTATTTTTGGGTGTAGCTGTAAGGCAACTGAACAAATGCATTTTTCCAAGAATAGTAAAGAGAAGCTACAGTTTTCAAATTCTTTCTTTAATTTTAGAAAGCTGCACATTTGCAGAAGTTGTTGCTGCTGTTGATGTGAACACTCTTGCCAATGAAGTTTATAAGCACAACTTTCCCAGCACACCATTATGGGCAAAGACAATTGAGGTGAGTAATGAATGTCTTTTTTACTCTAGTCTGGCATTTGTAGAAGCAAGTTGTCTTCACTGTCCTTATTAATAAAAAGATAAACAAAAGGATTTAATTTATGTTGTCATAAATATATCAGTTTTACAGTAACTTTGCATTCTGTTGCTGTGGTTGCTTGTTGAAGTTAGAGGAATGCTCACACTGCAGCGAGTAAATTTCCTGAAAGTCCTGGCTGCTGCATCAAGAAATGTTACATAAATGTCAATAGGAATGCTTACCACCTAGAAAGGAATGACAAAAATCATAGGTTTAGATTGAGAAAATATTTTCATCTATTTTTAAAGAATTTAATTAAATCACTTGGAGGCATGCCTCCATTTTGTTGTTAAAGTTGAGCTCAGTAAAACACAATAAATTATATCAGATGGGACAGTCCTGCAATTTTTTGTGGGATCAATAGATCAAATGTTTTAGGAATTCTGTGCCTTTTCCAAATTACTTGAGGAAAGACTAGGTAAAATTTGATTCTGTTTTAATAATTGAGGGGCAAACTAGGCATGTAATTTTGCCTGGATTTAGATAGAAAATTCTGTATACTTCTTTATCTTCTTTTACAGTTTTACAACATGACAGTAAAAGATACATCAAATTAAGTAAGAAGTAAATAGATGACTAAAGGTTAAATGCTTATTCAGCACTCGATAAAAATCAACTAAATGATAGCTTACTGTTTTATACAGGTAAAAGAAGATGAATGCTTGCATATGTTTCCTCATAGTAGATAAGAGCAGCAAGACAGTCTTTGAATTTATTGGAAAAAAACCCCCAGCTTTTATCTAGTATCTGTGAGCAATTATATTACATTTGATATATAGATATCCCTTAAAATATGTAAGGCAGTGATTTCTTTGTCCAGCACATCGCTCCGTGATCATTATCCTTTTTCTGTCCTCTTGACCCATTAATATTTTATCCTCCCAGTGTTGGTTAAAATTTAGTCTAGAGGAACTTATACCTGTGTAATTAATTCATGCCACATTCTTTCTTCTCTGAACAGAAATATTTTTACAGATTAAAGCTTTCAGTTGTATATCTTTGAGGGATTTTTACTGACCGAAAACTAGAATGAAGTAAACTTCACAGGATGTGTTGGCAATGAGCTCAAGAGTTAAACCCCACAGTCTGGACCTGTAAAAACTATCATGTTAACACCTGAGTGATCTGAGAACTTCTGTTCAGATATTTTGTCTTTCAAGAAGATCTAATTTTTCAAGCCATTTTTAATATGTTAATATTGGTTTTGATGTACAAAGACTTCATATCTGAATAATAATACTGTGTTTGGAGGAGGGGTGGAAGCAACTGGTCAGTATTTTTATGTGATCTACTCAAAGGACCACTACACAACTCTTCTGAAAGAACCAGTAGATTAAAAACTTCAAGATTATGTGTAGATCCCAACACTGTTAGTGGTTTTGATTCATATTCAAAGTAATTAATGTGTATTTGTATTGTATGGTTTGCCAAGGTAGAAAAAAATTGAAGCAATTAGGTCAAATGGGAGATTAGGTGATTTTTTGCTAGATGAAGCATGCAGTGGAAGTAAGAGGAAATAGTTTGATCTGGAAGATTACTTTAGAGTTTCATACAATTAGCAACACTCACCATTCTTCTATTTTTTCTTTTTTTATTCAGGGCATAACACTGAAAGAATTTGACAGATTATCTTTTGATATGGTTTTGATGAGTCCTCCCTGTCAGCCATTTACAAGGTAGATAAAGCACACATTGGAGAAAAGTGCAGTTCCTACAGTATGGACTGTTAAAGGAGAAATGTTTTCAAGAGTGACACTATGTGTGATTCATCTGTGTTGTCTTTCTCTTCCTAAGCAAAAATGTTGTAGCTCTTTTCACTGTGATGTTTACTAAAAGTGGAATGCAGCAATTTGAATCTTAATTATTGATCATGTAATTCAGTTTAAATCAATTAAGCTTCTTACAACACCTGTTTTGAATACTGCATTGTTCCTCTGAGAAATTAAAAGATTTTGCTGTTCGGGGGTGCTTCCTTTCTCTTTAGATATCAATCTAATCTTTTCTGGGGGCACTGGAGGAGGACTGGAATATCTCACTTCTGCCTTGGACTACAAGTATTATTTGGTTTTATTTGTACTTTGAAATTATATGTGCACACAAATAGGTAATTCTGAGGAATGTTTCTGTTTTAGCCAAGACTAGGAGGATGATGATTTCAAAATTATTTTGTGGAAGATATAGAGGAATACTAATTAATCAAGTATATTTATTAAGAAGTGAATAGTGAGTTTCCTGAGATGTTCTTTGTCAGATTAGTTTCAAATTCATATTGTTTGACAGCAGTGGCTGGTGGAGACAAGATTCTAGTAACTACTCATGTAAAGTAATGAAGTATAAATTAGGAGAACACAAGCCTCAATCTTACATTATAATTTTTAAACCTACATGAGCTGTCCAATTTAATGTTACAATATTGGTTACAAAGTTATTCACATGGGGCCAAATGATGGGAACTGGGCTTTGCTTCATAGAAATAATTTAATATATTTAATGTAAAATAGCAGGATATTCCCAGGAACCCAGTGGTTTTTTTTGTTCTTTCAGAGCCAAGTGTATTCAAGGGGTTTGCTGGACAAGACCAGAATGCTAAACAGTTTGCACACTGCAGGGTGAATTTCATTACCAAATGCTTCAATTTTAACTTCACTGTGAGCTAGTGGATTCCAGGGCCACTCTTTCAGTCCTTAGGACACTGCCTCTCTGAGCCGCTCTTCATGTCTATACATGATGCTTTTCCAGAATCCCTTTTTGAGACTCAAAGCAAGAAGTGTTAGCATTCTGTAGAAAAGTGTAAGTCAAATGTCAGTCTGCTCTGAGTAATATTCAGCTTTTTCATTATTCTTTCTTAGAATTGGCCTGCAGGGTGATGTATCTGATCCACGGACAAAGAGCTTTCTCTATATCCTTGATATTCTCCCAAGGTATAAATGAACTTTTATCTCAGCTCTTAAACCTTTGTTGTAACTGTGTAGTTCTTTTGATATTTCAGCAAGACAAGCAATCTAGAATGTTTTACAGGGATACTGCTAGTATTATGTTGCATTGCTTGTTTGTGTTCACATTTTGATGTATAATTTATAAATACTGGTATTTTATCAATGCCATTATAATTTCATAGTTACAGTATATGCTTTCATTATCCGGTTTTCTTTTTAGTGTATGTCTGTTTAAATTGTAGCTATAGCATAAATGAAAAAAATTTAGTTGTATATTTTCAGTTCAACATGAAACTTCATTGACTGTATGTAGAAGCAGGAGAAGGTAATATAATAGTTTGCTAATGGACACCATGGAAACATAAAAATTGTTTGAAATACGAAGTTTAAAAAGCTTTGATTCAATGTTCAGTCACCTTTTGAATAGGTAACGTTTTTATATGTATTATTGACAGCATAATACAAGACATCTTCTGTCCCCTTTGTTCTTGAAGTGTCTATTCTTTCTTTTTGGTGCTGCTTCTAGGTATCTTGAGGTAGCTTGTGTATTTTGGGCTTGTAGTACAATCTCTTGTTTTAAGTAGTAATACTAAGGAATTCAAATAGCACTGCACTGTCTGAACAGTGCCCTTGTCTTTCTGTTGATCTGTCATTTTTGGCCCATGAGACCCCAGTTCCTAATAAAATAGCCATAATTATTTGGATTATTTATGCCTTAAATTTTGAAACAGTAAATCCAAGCAAATCAGTTTTTGCTGACCTAAATTGTTCTTACTGAGAGTGTTAAAAATAAGCTCCAAGTAATGCTTATAGTCTTTTTTTGGGAAGAGATGCATACCACTGTAGCAATCTTTCATGGGGAAGTGGAGCAAGCAATTGCTCAGGGAGATCATCCAGCAGAAATCTCTGCTTCAGGATTGAGATGTCTATTGGACACCAGCTGGCATGAATCTGAGAATTCATTTACTGTTCCTAACAGTCCTGCTTCTGCTGGAGACTGGGACAGCTGTTTATATATTTCTTCTTTGGTGAGTCTTGCTGTCAGAATTGGAGGAAGATGAAGGGAGATTTGTCTGTCTTAGTTACTATTTTTTTGTCTGTTGTATTTTTGTTTGTTTGTTTGTTTGTTGGGGTTTTTTGGTGTGTGGTTTGTTTGGTGGGTTGTGTTTTTGGTTTTTTTGCCTTTCTTTCAAACTGTTGCTAACACTGAGAGAAAAGGGTCTTCATCTTCCAGAAGCAACTTTTTTGCAGCCAGCAACATAAAATGGAACTACCCCTTTGCCTTTTTCATCAGTAGATAGAGAACACACTCAAAAGAGCCTAGAAAATCTGTGGCAGAAAAACAAAACAGAGCACAACACAGATTCTTTAGCCTAGTAAGCTAGACAATTAATAGGTAAAAAGAAATATTATTATTAGTCCTCCACAACTAGCAGAGATACAAAAGCAGGGAGATAACGGGGGGTTCCAAAAGTTGCGAAGGATGTGTTTTCTCGAACAAGGAATGTAACTCAGTCCACCAGACTGACCTTTCAAAATGATAAATTAAAACCAGCAGATAGTGTGTAAGTTAATAATTTATCAAAATATTAGCGCCTTCCTTATCCTTAAGGGAATCCTGACCTCAGTATTCCTTTCAGTTCTACTGAGACACACTTAAGAAGCTGGCTGCTTTGAGGACACTAGTGCATTAACATGGAAATGTTGCTTCCTGGTTGCTGTGGGCTTAACTGGGTAAAGGGCAGAAGCTTTTCCTTCTCAAAACCAAAGCTTTCGACACATGTTTTTCATCAGGATGATGCAAAGGAGCTAGGCTTGGCTGTGGCACTTTATCTCAACACCCCTGCTGGTGTCCCTTATCTCCCTTGGGCAGGTTGTTTCTCTAGGCTGTACTTGCTGTAAGCAGTCTGAAATATGTTCAAGATGATGGCTTGTGCAGAGTTGCTCAGTTCCAATAGATTATGTTTTACTGAGATAGTGTTTGTGCATTTTTTTTTGGATATGACATGCTTGCCAGACATTGAGTATGGAGTAATTCAGCCCAAAAAAGGGAAATTCCTAATATAGAAATTATCACTTTGCATTCTAAATTGGTACAGCATGCATTCAGTTTACAGAAACTATAAAATAATTTTTCATCCCTTGGTTGTTCTACCTTATGTTTAGCCTTTTAAAACTTGGAACATCCAGCTGACAGTCTGACCTGAATGGTCCAGATACTGTCTGCTTATTGTGTCTAAGCCATAACTCAGGGCAATCTAACACTAAGATGTCAAAGTGCTGCTTTTACAGACACATTAGTAATGTTAATACCTGCCAAGTACTTAACACATACTCTTTGTACAGTGATTACTCACCTTGTGATCTGTTGATCCTGTGTGAGCTCTTGCATTTAGGCTATGTTCTGTATTCATTACTTTAAAAACAAGTTTCATAGTAGGTGATGATGATGTTAAGTGTGGGTACACATGCCAATGGATATGTTTCCCATTCATCTGCAGGGAATTTGGCTGATGCTGCTTTTTCAGTTTAGTATTTTTTTTTCACTATTATTTTTAGTTTTATTTTTTTATTTGGCATAGTATCTTGTATGTTTTCCAATTTCTTGTGAAATGCTTTAGTTCTTTAATGCTTCATGTGATTGCCTTTAACTGATGGTAGTCAGGAATGTGATGAAAAAAATTCTGCTGTGATTTGCACCAGTGGAAGTCCAAAGTCACTTATTGACAAATAAGCACAGAGCTGATGTCTGACGGCATTAGTGTCCCGTTTCTGTATGCTGTTCTGACATCCCACTGTGTGTGACAGACATACCCTGTCTACATTAGGCTTACTAGAGAATTAATCAGTGCCAGGGAATGTTCCCAGAGACTTGAATCTGAATCATGTATGCTCCAAAATTGTTAGAATGGTCCCTGGCACAACTTGGGCATGTTCCTTTCTCCAGAGAATGAACATGCTGTTCTTGGAATGAATCTGTTTCCAGACCACTGCACTGATCTTTCTAAACCTCAGGCACTTCACTCCCTCCATCAAAATGAAAAAGTAAAATATAGAAAACTGATAGGATCTACAGTTTGAGCTCTAAACATGCTATATTTCTTAAAGCAATTAGATAAATACTGGTTTTGCTGTGTTATCCCTGAAGTTGATGGGACACTTTGATTTTGGTTTTCAGCACTTAAACAAAAAGTTTTTTGTTCCATGGCTAAATAGTGATTTTTTCCTCCCAGAAATTATCTTTCCTATGACAAACTCAGTCTGTTGAATATCAGTATTGTGCTTTGGGAAATGAACAGCGGTAAGCAATTTCAGAAGCACGTGCATGGGATACAGCAGCCCATCTGAACATAAATGGGTTTTGTTGGTTTTTGTAATTATCAGCAGTCCACATTTTTAATTTAGTTGGGAATGATTTGATCTAGGCAACTGTGAGAGTTGAGGTGCATTTTTCTAAGGATGCTAAACTTTAGCAGCTAGAATAATGTGGAAATACTTTGATCTTGCACATAGCCAAACAAATCTGTGGATGAATAAAATTAAGTTTACATCTTGTAACTCTGACTTGTTGATTCCTTTTTTCTTTTTTTCTCATAGGCTCCAAAAGCTTCCAAAATACCTACTTTTAGAAAATGTTAAAGGATTTGAATCGTCTTCTGCAAGGTAAAGTGTAATTTATGCAGGTTTTAGTTTCCAGTAAAGGACATGTTCTTCAGAAGAGGAAGGCAGAATTTTTATATCCTAAAATTGAAGTTAACAAAATGGAGTGAGATGGGACAGCTGGCAGTTGTGTGCTAAAAATACTGTTTTATTTTCGGAGTGAAAATACTAAGTTTTGAAAGGAACTTGCTAAACAACTATTTGTTTCTCTAAGCAGATAAAATATAACAAGTTGATTCCATTTATTTTATTTGATAATTTCGTGACCCATAGAAAGGATCAATATTAATTTTCATAGAAAAATAACTAGGTGTATCATGCAGAGGTTTGAGTATTTTATCCATGACAGGACCTCATGGTATCTTTTGTTAAGACCACAGTACAGCATAGGAGCTTTCTTCAGTAGCTTTGTTGACAGTAGATTATCACTGATCCAGGGTTGCCATCATATGATCCAGAAATATAGTGTGAAGACTGTATAAAATCTTTGTCTGAAATGTGGAAGAGGGAAGTTGTCAGTAAGGTTACCTAATGACATCAGGAGCATTGTCTTTTCTTGTGGGCAAAGCAGATATTGTGGTCTTCCATCTCATTTTTTACTGGAACAGAGCTGGATCTTTCTACAGCATTCTTTAAAGCAACAAGAGAGCAGCCACGCGGCATCCAATGCTCCTTAATGAATATGGCAGGCAGCTGGGTTCGGCTTAGCTCATGCCATGTATGTGAACACAGGGAGGTAGTGAGCTGTTTGTAGTGATTTTAATCTCCTGTTCTATAATGTACAATAAAGAGAATGTCTTGCTCTCTGATTATTTTCCTGGTTGACACACTGTAAGTACTGTCCTAGAGGTGGGACGTTTTTTGAGGGGGAGTTTGAACGAAACTGGATGTGAGGTACCTGTATGTGTAATAGTATTTTTTTAGCTACAGTAACATTGAATTTTCTATGTTGTCTTCTCAAGTTAAAAAAATTTATTATTTCATATCTGTAATTCTCTGTCCGCTTCTTTCACTGAATATGCTGAATATCATGGTACCTAAGGTCCTGTATTTAATGTGTTTTTATTCAGGATAAAAAAGATAAAGGTTGTTTGAAGGACTAATTGTTGATTCTTCTTACTGCCAGAAGTGAACTTGTACGAACACTAGAAACATGTGGATTTAAATATCAAGAATTTCTCTTGTCTCCAACCTGTGTGAGTACTGAAATAGCTCTAATATTATTTAATTGTTCAGACTGCACCAAGTCTAAGAACATTTGAAAATTACTGTATTAGAAAAAGACAGTCCTGCCTAGAGCTGAAGATATTCCTCTGAATGAGAAAGCCATCTGGCATGACTTTTGATTTCTCATCAGTATACTGGCATAATCATAGATTCATAGAATGGTTAAGGTTGGAAGGGACCTTAAAGATCATCAGGTTCCAACCTCCCTACTATGACCAGAGAGACCTCACACTACACTAGACAGAATAAAGCCTCATCCAACGTGGTGTTAAACACCTTCAGGGAAGCGGCTTCCATGGTGTCCCTGGGCAACCTATTTCAGTGCCATACTACCCTCATGGTGAAGAATTTCTTTCTGATGTCTAACGTAAGTATACTCTCAGTTTAAAACTATTGTCCTATTACTAAAACCTTGTCCTATTACTGCCCTCTCTGGTGAAAAGCCCTTCCCCAGCCTTCCTGTAGGCTCCCTTCAAGTACTGGAAGGACACTTTAAGGTCTCCCTGGAACCTTCTCTTCTCCAGGCAGGATAGCCTCAACTCCCTCAACCTGTCTTCATAGCAGAGGTGCTCCAGCCCTTTGGCCATCTTCATGTCCCTTCTCTGCACCCTCTCCAACAGCTCCATGTCTTTCCTGTGCTGAGGGCACCAGAGCTGTACACAGTACTCCAGGTGGAATCTCACCAGAGCAGAGTAGAGGGGCAGAATCACTTCCCTGGCCCTGCTGACCACATTTCTTTTGATGCAGCCCAGGATGGAGTTGGCTCTCTGGGCTCCAGCACATACTCATGTTGAGCTTCTCATCTACTACCACCCCCCAAGTCCTCCTCAGGACTGCTCTCTATCCATTCTCCCCCCAGCCTGTATTTGTGCCTGGGGTTGTGCCGACCCAGGTGCAGGACCTTGCACTTGGCCTTGTTGAACTTCATGAGGCATTGGCCCACCTCTCCAGCCTGTCAGGGTCCCTCTGGGTGCCATCCCTTCCCTCTAGGGTGTCAACCACATCACACAGCTTGGTATTGGGAGCAAACTTGCTGAGGATACACTCAATTCCACTGTCCAAGTCTCCAACAAAGATGTTGAATAGCACTGGTCCCAGTACTGACCCCTAAGGAGCACCACTCGTCACTTGCCTCCACTTGGACACTGAACCATTGACCACAACTCTCTGGGTGTGGCCATCCAGCCAGTTACTTTTCCACCGAGTGGTCCATCTGTCAAATTCATGCCTTGTCAGTTTGGATACCAGAATGTTGTGTGGCACAGTATCGAAGGCTTTGCACAAATCCAGGTAGATGACGTCAGTTTCTCTGCCACCTTCCATCATCTCTGTATCCTTGTCATAGGAGGCCACCCAAGTGGTCAGATACGATTTGCCCTTAAGTGAAGCCATGTTGGCTGTCACCAGTCAGCTCCTTATTTTCCATGTGTCTTAGCAGATTTTCCAGGAGGATCTGTTCCATGATCTTGCTGGGCACAGAGGTGAGACTGACTGGCTTACAGTTCCCTGGGTCTTCCTTTTTCCCCTTTTTAAAAATAGGGGCTATGTTCCCTTTTTTCCATTTTTGTTTCATTCTCCCAGTCTCTGCTTTCACCTGCTGTGGCCTTTGCGATGAGGCTGGAGCACTTGCCAGAGAAGACTGATGCAGAGGAGTCATTGAGAACCTCAGCCTTCTCAACATCCTACATTATCCTTGGTTGTCCTTTTATCCCCAACATACCATATAGAAGGTTTTCCTACTGCTCTTTACAACCCTGGCGAGATTATACTCATAACAACATACTGCTGTTATTGCTCAGATCCTGGTCCCATATTGCTTCACTGCCATTTGATGTTTTTCAAGAAGTCATGAATTTACATCATGATGAGGAAGGTAGTTTTCCCTGCAGGAACCTCATTGCTCCAGAAGTGCTGATGCCTGTGAATTTCCCAGCACAGAAAATGTGACTGTGTCATTTTTGGGAGGAGGAGCTTTGTTTGCATGTTTCCCTGGCAACTGGAAAAGAGTTGAGAGGGAGTTCAGATTGTACAAGACTAAATGGAATTGGTGTAGTCCTGTATAAATCTGAGAAAACTGATGGAGGGTGGCTTGAAAACCAGTTGTCCAGTTGTGGTGCATTTGTTTAATTTTCCATTGTCTTATAAATTCTTTGTTGAAAAAGGCAGTGAGGTTACTTTTTTCTTATTTTCTAGAAAACAGGTAGTACCTGTCCAAAGAAGTTGTGCTGCATGCCATTTTTCTTACCTCACATAAAAGTTTCTTTACATTTCTGTTCATACACACAGAAAGTAAAAAACATGAGGTACAAAAAATAATTGCCTGCTTGTTTCCTTGAGAATACCTGGGCGTGAAAGTTACTTGTTTAGGATATAAGTGTGGCATAGTTCTATTACTGTATATAGTGGTAGATAACTTGAATGACACTATACACCACTTCTCTCTATCACATGGACTAAAGGCTTGTGGATTTTGCTTACAGCTTGGCATTCCCAATTCTAGGATGCGGTATTTTCTAATTGCAAAGCTTCACGAAGAACCATTTTCTTTTCAAGCTCCTGGTCAGGTGAGTCTGTCAGTGTTGCTTGAATTGGCTTTGTTTCATGAGGACTGAGTGTTGAATTTTTGGTTTAGTGGTGTGTGTTGATGAATAGAGAGAGGGACAAGTGGTATCAACAGAGGAGTTAAATTGTGTCCCTTTTCTTTTGGCCTGGATGCTGAGATTTCTAAAAATGCGTGCCAGTGTCCTAAATGGCTTTAAACAGTTAGGGGGCAGTGGCTGGTAGTGGGTTAGAAAACAATGCATTCTGCTGCCTTTTTTTTGCCCTTGGAAAGTTAATTTTGCAAAGTCAGTTATTTCCTGTTGGTAGGTTAGTAAATTGTGATGCTAACATTTTTTGAAATCTTGATGAAAATAACGTTGAATGGTTACTTTTTTTATTCTGAGCATCTCTTACTTGCTTAGAGTCTGCTGTCAAGTTGTTTATCAAATAGAGTTCTTGAATATTTTTTTTCCCCACAATTTCTTCCTAGGTTTTAACAAGATTCCCAGATCAGGATCTACAAGGCTTATGTGAGGAAAAGGCTGCTGACAAAGTGGGTGGAGCTAGTTCTTCCTTGTCTTCTGAAGAGAAGACTATGGATCTAAACATTGGTCCTGATTGTAGAAGCAAGAAGAATTTATCAAAAGGGGCTTTTCTTTTTAAGCTTGAAACAGTAGAAGAAATGGAAAGGAAATATAGTCAGGACAATGATTCCTCTATTCAAATGCTAAAAGATTTCTTGGAAGAGGAAAGTGAAGAAATGAGTCAGTATTCCTTACCACCAAAGTCCTTATTGCGCTATGCTTTCTTGTTAGACATTGTTAAACCCACCTGCCGGAGATCCACATGCTTTACAAAAGGGTAAGTTGCAAAGAGGATGTCTTGCTGAATCACGTCCTGAAATTTTAAGTGTTTTTGCTTCTGTAATGTAAAACAAGGAGAGCTATTTCATAAAAAAAAACCCACAGGCCTCTGAAAAAAAAAATAATCCTTATATAGTGTGCTTCCTGGTCCAGTGGAATGCCAGCATGAGAATCTGGCAGGACATCATGTGCCCACTGCAAAAAGGCATTCACAAAAGACAGTGCCATTTGTTGTTGACCTTCACCGAAGCTTAATTACCCTGCGGAAATATGGTTCCAATAGACTGGTATAATACTGATTCATTAATGAATTTTTTTTGTATTGCTCAATCAATTTACAAAGTGTCATGCATGACAGATCCATTCCTCATTAAAATTGTCTCCACTGTACATTTTATTGATTTCTTGGATTTTTCAGCTGCGTAGGTCAGAATAGCTGTGGATTGGCCATATGTCATAAAAACAGTTAAGTTGTCGCAAATCAAATCATATTTGATGGAGCAGAACATCAGTGCTTTTCTATCTAGTAGTTTTCTGATTTGTACACTGCAATTTTGACTGCCAGAAGTTGTTGAATGTTCTGAAACCCCACAGATAACTGGTCAGGTGTTTTTCCATTGAATGCATTTGTATTGGAAAAGGCTGGCTGGAGCCTGGAATTTTGTGGAAAATGTTAGTATCTGTGAATTTTTCCCATTAGAGTGTTCAGGGATTTTTTCAAATTCTCAGAATGTTTAAACAAAATTGCCTAGTTGTTGACTTAAAAATAATTAAAACTTTTTTAATTAGTAGAAATTAGACTGCTAGATTGACAGCATTCCTGCAGATTTTGTGATTTCAACTTTTTTAAACCAAAAGCTGAGGAGAGAATTTAAAACATTCAAAATTTATGCAGCAGGAAAGTCCTTCCCCCAGCTCTCATTGACATACACCTCTTGTGCCCTCAGTCTTTTGAGTTGTGAGGAAGTCAGCATCTTGTTGGATCTGTTTCATAACTGGAGTAGTCAAATGAAAACCTTAGGCCAGAATGATCTCCTGTGTATCTCATGTATGCCTTAAGTGTCATCAGAAATAAATTGGACACTTGTGCTTGTGCTAGAATATGCCATGGTAGTTTGTGGTCATGTTTATCACATCACACTGATGGAGGCTCCTGAGGAGTTAATATGAATTCTTTATATATAGTGGTGGGAAATCTGACACAGAACGTAACTATTTTCTGCTGATATGGGAGGAGCCAGACCAGATAATTCTTGGCTCAAAATGTAGAAATCTGATTTACCATCTTCATTCCCATTTGTGAGAGCCTTTGGGAAGGAAGTTTTCCAACATCGTTCTCAATGTGTTCATGTCATTTACAGCTTTGCGTTAAGAGGAAGATTATAATTACATCTCAGGCTTCACCCACGTCACTTTCTGAGGCAAAGAACAAGTTGCCGCTGTATGTGTTCTAAGAGTTCTTATTTTTCTCTGAAACATGAGGTCTAGGATAGAGGACACTGAATGGAGCAAAACAGCACTCCAAATAGTACAGAGAATCTCTCTGCTGAGATGCCTTTCTGGCGTCTTTCTTACAAGTCGTTCTGATCATCAGCTTTGAGACTGGGAGAAAAATTTCCCCGAGTTCTGATTAGTCTTAAGATATTTCCAGCAAGGTTTGTGTGATGAGGGTAATCCAAGTATGCCTTCTTCAGTCCTTGCTAATTCAGGGACCTCAAACACCAATACTTCATCAGTGGTTTTTGCCCTTCTGCCTTTGTCATACCACTCTTTCTTCTGAAAGGCTTTGGTGCAGTATAGGGCAAAATGTAATGGCCTGTGGTGCATGAGAGATCAAGCACATGATCCTTTGTTCCCTTTGGACTTTGGACTGCTAAGTAATTGGAAGGGATTGCTAAATTCAAGACTACAGATGCCGTGGTTTCACTTAGGAGTATGTTTGTGGTGACTGAAGTGGTGAGAGGAAGTTTTCCATTTTAAAGGACAGAACTACTGTTGTAGAAAACTACTTCTTTAGATATAATAATTCTGGAATTACTTGTATATTCTTAATATGCTATTGACAAAAGAAGCACTACCTTCTAAAACATTACTAATGTTAGTTACAGAAACTCTCTCTGGCATTGTGGAAGTTACCTTTTTGTTAGTAATAACACAGAAATAATATCTTATGTGTGTGAATTTAAAAGGTTTTTTAAAAGCTTACAGAACTAGAGGGAGAAAATACCAGGAGTCAGATGAAAATTGAAGAGTGTAATTTCTTAAGCCAGTGTCTTTTATTATAACTGGTAATATAATGTCAGAAAATCAATTCATAATTTTTTACTGTGACAAAAATTCACATATTTAATTATTCTCTGAGTCAAAGTTAGGAATGTTAATTTTTCTGCAGTCAGCAGCAGTAGTAATAATAATAATCCAGCTGACATTGGCCATCTGCCCACATTTGTGTTAAAAAACCCACTGCGTAAAACACCCCCAGCCTCCAAACCACTTGTACACCAACGGGATTTTTTTTTGTGAGGAGTTTTGTATTCTAGTGCCAGTTACTTAAACTGATGTGTTTAATACAATGTGGATCCTATTAGAAGATTCATTCCCTCCAATAAAACCGTTTTGAAATATATCTTACTTATTTTGGCTCAGATACATCTGAAATACAATCAGATGCTATATAGGAGGAAGATCAGGATTCCTCAGTGCTTTGTGTGTTACACTGTTAAACATGTTGCATTTTCAGTATTAAACTAAACATGATGTATTTACAATACAGTTCAATTCCATGTGTTTTTAATCTGCATCAGTGTGTAGGGCCTTTTGTTCTGAACCTAAGTTAGATTTGCAAGCACTTTATTTTAAAACGGGTGCTGCTCTCACTGATGTTGGCAGAACTACTCAAAACTTTTCCAACTTAATAAGAAACTCTCAAGATTGACCCATGCTAGGTCATTGTGTCTGTTCTGAAGGAAGACTTACTATATCCATTACAGAATTGGAATGGCTTGAAACAAAAATTTTTTCAGTGCCTTGCTTTAGAATGGGCCCCAAGTACAGCAGAAGACCTTTGTAACTGACTTTACAGGTAGAGCAAGAGAATAATAGCTGTTACTGATTGATGCAAACCACATCCTTCTAATGCAGGGGATCTTCTGAAGCTGTTCCACTGTGCAAGTGCTGTCTCTTGACTTGACTCAGTTTCTTTCTGTTCAGGACATGTGAACACATTCAGAGCTAGACCAGCAGAGCATGTTTCTGAAAGCCCATAATTATACTTAAATTATAGCCTGGAAGAGACTACAGAGTAGACATGTTCTACAGTCAGCCACAAAGATCTAAAAAAGCTATCATACAGTTTTAGAATGTAAATTTGCTTACTGTTAAGTTAGATTTATTTTTTTTTCTGTCTGTCTTCCACTCTGCATAGACGCCTGGGCATCCCCCAACCCTTCCCTCTGTGGAAAATCCACAAGCATCCAAAAGTTAAACCTGACTGAACCATTTTGTTCTTAACGGATTCATACAAAAGATGGAGGCTCACACTAACAGGCCTCCTTTGAATACAGAGAACCAGTCTGAACCTCTAGGACCATTTTGTCTTTAACATGTATTAATGTAAAATTTGTGCAATGTAGATGACCTTTCTGATGATGCTGTGCTTGAATTCCTTGGCCTTGTATAGTTGCCTTATATAAAACAGTAGTGTGGATAAACCCTCTTGCATTGATTGCAGACTCATCCCTAGAGAGCACATTCAGACACTACTGCTCTCCAAGGATTAGCTTGTTATTAACAAGGCCTTTTGCTTTAGCTATCCAGGAGGTTATTTTTTATTCAAAACAAAATCAACATCTCAGCATTTTTGCAGTTGTAAGTGCTATAAGGTCTGATTAAAATATTAATTTAATTTAGTTAAGATTGTTATTGTTCTTTTTAAGGTATGGACACTATGTAGAAGGGACAGGCTCAGTTTTGCAGACAGCAGTAGATGTGAAGGTAAGAATGTGTTGAAGAACATAGGAGAATTATTTTTTTAAAAATTTGTTTTTCTCTCTCTTCTGATTTCTTACAAGTTTTTTAAAACTATATTTTATGGCCACTGAGTTTCCAAATTATTTATGTTTCTAAACAAAAGTTTATTTAAGTACATGTATCTCTCTGTGAGTTGCTATTAATTTATTATCTGCAGTGTCATACAAGGTTTCACAAGGATAAAAGCATTAACAATTCTTAATTCTGTGGCTATACACTACAGTGCTGTGAATCTAGGGGCATTTTTCGTACACAGATGATCCAGTAAATATTTTGAAATGTTTAACATGTTTGAATTTCAAAAGTATTATTTAAGTGGGAAGACATTTTGAAAAGTTCTACTCTTAATACTAAGTTCACCACAAAGTACTACTTTTGGCTTTGGGGAAAGTAAAAATAAATGTATTGGTGAATCATCGTTCAAAGACACTTTTCACAAAGTGTGTTTTGTACATAAGCACCTCCTCTTGCACTTCTGTGCTATTCTCTAATATATAGCATTTCTAAGCTTAAGAAGAATGCAACTTGGGAATTCAGGACAATCTCAGAGCAAATGTATTAAAACAGCTGCATCCATACAGCTCAATTTGTGTGCATGGTCTGCTATGCAGTTATATTATGTCACTGTCCTTTCATTAATAAATGTTTATAGTCCTTTAATTTCCTCATTAAGGATTGGTATAACTTGTAACTGGAGGAGGAAATAATGAATATAATTGTGGCAACATCAGTTTCTTTCTTGCAAGTCCATGTGTTGAGATATTTGCTGCAAAAATAGAACACCAATCATACTTTCAAGGAAGACACACTATTGTCTTTGACACTGTGGTAATCAGTGAAATATTTTGTTAAGATGTAAGTGTTCAATTTAAAATATGTGGTCCGCATCAGTGATATGTGTTGCTTTTTATATTCTTCATAGCTTGAATCAGTGTTTAAACACATTGAGGAGTTATCAGAAGAGGAGAAGCTTATGAAATTGTCAACATTAAAACTGAGGTACTTCACTCCAAGAGAAATAGCAAATCTTCATGGATTCCCTCTGGAATTTGGTATGTGCTGCAAAGTACCCATTTCCACGTCATGCTTCAGAAATGCCAGTGTTGTCTTTTGTCTGGGGACTAATCCATGCTTTTTATTTTACTTTTTTTTTTTTCAAACAGCTCAGTTCTTATGATTGATTCTTGTTATTTGGCTAACTCTGAATTTCTCTCATTTCTACTAAGTTTTTGCATTTTGTAAGAGCCAGATTCTGTTGTTAGATTTATCTTCATAAACTTAGAAAAAAGTTTTGGCACGAGAAATGCTCAATTACTGAGTGGCAATGAAGGAATACCTTTGTTTACAGTTGAAACTATTCACTCAGCATCCAGCATTACTCACAACTGTGGTAAGTCAACATATGCTGCCAGTTTAGGGTCTGTTAGTGGTTCTCAGTGTTGGAGCTGCTTGCTTTATCCCTTACACTGTTTGCAGCCTGCTGACAGAAAGGGAATTTCAGAAGATACAGATAGTTCACTGTTTAGGAGTAACCAAACTCTTCAGTTAATGACCTTTTAAATCATCTCTGTTTTCTAGAAAAGACAGTCCTAGCCCATGGTCAATTACTTCATTTTCTAACTGTTTTGTGGAGATGAGGGAGTCAAGGAATGAGATTCACCAATACAGGTACATTGGACACAGGTCAACCAGAATTAAGCCTAAAATAAATTCACTGGAGTTCCCCTTGTAAAAAAAGGCAGGCAAGGAAGTGTAGCTGCTACTGCCTGCTGTGGAGCTTGGCCTGCAGCCATCATATCAGATCAGTCTTCTGTCTCTCAGCAACACAAGCATCTGTAGAGTAAGACACCACTGATCTTGAGTAATTTGTTGCTTTTTTCTTTGACTTCCTCAGTGACTTGTAATTCTGAGGAATGCTAATAGTTTTTATATGTTTCTTTCTTTTGCAGTTTTAGTTTTTCTCATTTATTACTTAGTTTTATTCAAAATTACATTAAAAGAACATTATCAAGGTTGAAGAGTCAAAGGTTAGAGTTGCCAGCACAAAGTTTACTTGTTTGAAGAGTATTTGCAGGAGGTTGTGTAGAGCTACATGCCAATATACAGGATTTTTTCATAGCCTCTCTTCTTTAATGCATTTATCCATTTTGTAGACAGCCTTTTTCTAAACACGCCTCTGTTCCACATTGGTGTAGGCTGATGTAAAGAAATTTAAAAGCTAAATAGGGCTGGATTGGACTTGTATAGGTATGCTGTTCAAGCTCTCATTTGAGCACAGAATTACCTGTTTCTCCTTTTTTTTAAATTCAGCTTCTGTTTTCCAAGTGTTGAATCAGCCTTTGCAACATCACTGAGAGGTGTAGTTGAGTTAATATTGCTTGTATTTTACAGAGAGAGAACCAAGACAATGGAGAAATGTATGTTTGGAAGACTCCATTCTTTACAGTTCTTCTTTACAGTTCTTGCAGTTCCCTGCTTCACTATACTACTTTTGGGACTCCCCACAGCACATGAAACAAGCCCTCTCATCCAGTCTTCCTTTCACGTATACCCCTGATTCATGGGCAGAACAGGCCTCTCATCTGCACTGAGTCACAAATCTGACATTTCTTTCCTTTGTGTGTAATCTAAGACATTTCCCACTTTGCACTCTAAGTGTTACTTAGCTCTGGGCTGATGTAAATCTCTGGTGAATTTAGGTACTATAATCTAAGTTTCTTTTCAGGATTTGAAAGCTATGGGGTTTTTTTTTTAAAGTGCTATATTTATGGGTATAGCAAAGGGTGTTTCCCTCACAGCATTTCTCCTATGCTAAATTTTAAGACATTATTGTGAAGTGTGGTATTTTCAGAGGGAAGTGTGCTATAATTTCTTTGCTCCTGTGTTCTATATTGACAGCAACAGTTGACAGCAACATTTCAAAATTGTTGAAATTTTCAACATCAGAAAGCCTAGGGATGTACCCACTGCAAATGTGTTATTGCCCCAAGAAGCTAAAGAATGAGAAAACTATATACTGAAAATGAAGAAAACACCAGAAGGCTTTGTAACAGATGCTGTCATGAGCTGCAGCTACATTATTATCAGAAGGAACATGATTGTGTCTAAATGGTTCTATATTTTAGGAAATTGATGGCCTTTTCTAACATGTGAGATCCAGAGTTAAAATCATAGTTCATTATTAACATTAACAGATTTATTTGAGCTTTTAACATCTAAATGTATAAGTAGAAATTGCACCATAGGTCAATGGAATACTGGAGTCATTTGTCTTAGCCACTACTGTGAGTCCCACAGCAATATCATTAAAAGTGATCAGAGCATTCTTGCACCTGTGACCTGCTTGCATGAGAGTGATGTCCATTTTTCCTGTTAGTGATATATGTGAGCTATTAGGAAACAAATGGCAGCCTGGTGGAAATCCAGCACAACGTGGTAGTGCATGTTGCCAAGACTACAGCATCATCAAGTTGCATGCATGACCTAAAGGACCTGATGAGAGCTGTGCAGCAAGTGCCAGATTGTTAAATCTGTCCTTCTCTTGTAGGCTGCTCTTGAGGCAGGAAGATAGAAGGTGCAAGATAGTGTTAACAGGCAGATGGAGGAGGCTTGGGATAAAGGAAACAGTGAGCCCTGAAAATTCATTCAGGCTTTCAGTTGCCAAGAGGCAGATGGAAAAGCTCTGAAATTTTCAGGGTTCAGATAAGCTTCTTGGGCTATAAGTACACAGATGTGTATGTGCCTAAAGGCATATTTATTTAAAAATGTGTAGATTCTGTACATCATTCAATTATTTAATGTAAAAACTCTATCTAAGGAAGTATGTGTGGGAGTGCAATGATTGTTCCAAATAAAAAACAGTTGCCCAAATGTGATTGCCAGGAAGCTGGGCAGAGTGGATGGAGCTGGCAGAAGATGTATTTACCAAAGCAGTCCACATTGAAGGCATTAATAACTGGCAGAAAAGGATGGAACAACTCCCAGACACCACCTCCTTTTTAGCTTTCCACCATTGGCTCAGCAACTGTCCAACCATGTTCTCTCCTGAGAAATCCCTGGAAGAGGATTTTTCTGAAGTGCTATGAAAACTTCAGAACATATATCTCATCACTTTTCTCCTGTAGTCTGATGTTCTCTAGAGTATCAGTTTTGCAGTGTTTAGGTGCTGCTGCACCTCCTTGAGACTGCTGGATGTTTTGAGCTATACGAAGAGAAGATTGCTATTATTTACACAATAGAGCAATCTTTTGAGGCTTCTTGTTAAACTTTAGAGATGGCAGTACTGCTAGTGGAAGTCCTGATGCAAATCCAATGAGCTGGATGTAACTGTGAATTTTAGGGATGTATGTGTGTGAATCCTGCTGCCATCTGTGAGAACTACATTAAGAACTGTTCATTGAAAAAAGGGATAGGAAAGCTAGGAACTAACCCAGACTAACAATGTTGCATTCTGTGTTTTTTGTTTTAGGTTTTCCTGACAAAATAACTATAAAGCAATGCTACCGTCTTCTGGGAAACAGCCTCAATGTACACGTGGTGGCAAAATTGATCTCCATTCTAGTTGGATAATTTAGAAGCTGAATCTGTTGAGTAAAGACTGGTGACAGAAAATACTTCCACCTTTCAAGAGAAGGCTGATGGCGGCTGAACAAAAATTGTAGCTTTCTGAAACATCTGCCCACACATTTTTCTGACCAGTTCTGATATATTAAAAATACATCAGTTAAATTGCTTTTTTGGTGGATTTGCTTTGTAGAGATCCTTTATTTAAATGGAAGTTTCCAGAACTTAATTGCTTTATTTAAATGTCCTTTTTAATTTCTAAAATGAAAAAGAGCAGCATTTCCATATGCCTCAGTGAAAATGGGTAAGACTGTTGTATTTTATCTTAAAACTGTCTTCTCAGTACTGTATAAAAAGGCTGTAAATGTAATATCTGTTTTAAGTGCAGAGACCAAGTTCTACATGTAAAATGTCTTAATCTGTAAATATCAGCAATCCATTCTTAAAAGATTTATTGTATATGTGGTGTGAAATTTTGATGTAGCTAATTAAACTATTCAATTCATTTTTTGTATGTGATTTTTAAGAAGACACAATGTCATCCTGAGTTCATGGTTGTCTCATCCTCTCTAAATACTTGTAGGCTTCCAGAACCCATCTCTGTCTTTCTGGGATGATTTGTTTAGGTGCAGCTGAATGAAAATATTTCAAGATAATCACAACCCTGAGAATAACTTGCCTGTTTCTGTTCTCACTTATATTATTCAGGATACAATCATTGCTCCTTACCGAAGGCCTACACATAAAGACATAAACAATTTGAAAAGCTCCACATTTAGGTTCTTGTGGCATAAAAACTGGAAAACTTATTCTGAAGATTTCATCACAAAACTTGATAGCAGTAATAGGGTTAGGGGTGTATGTTCAGATGAAACCACTGCATATGGCTATCCAGAGTGCCACAGTTGAACACCACCTCCTAGAGCTGGACTGTATGTTGGCTTATTAATAAAATCTTGTGATTTTAATGTCTCTGAAGCTATAGAAACAAAAATATGGAAAAATGGAAAACCTTCTAAAGAAACATGTTTTTGTTGTTATTTTTCCTTACAAGTAGTATTATATTGGTATATAGAGAAAAAAACCCCAACAGCTTGAGGGAGGAAAAGGCAGGATGAATTAAGCATCCATTAGGGAGCTGGTGTGTCACAAAACTGAAGGATTTCATACAAGGACCATAGTATCTGTGCACCAAAGCAATGAGTTGTCAAAGCCATCAATCCTGAAAAAGACTAGTTTTAATGTTTTTTTTCTTTCTGTGGGATGACATAGGAACAGTCATGGTGCATTACACCTGGGCTTGACAGTGCAAGAGAAGCTGAAGACCACAGAGAACAGAGCTGCTGTAGAGATACTGCAGCTGTTCTCATCTGCCATAGTCCTCCTGAAAAAGAAAATAACCTTGCTATTGTTATTTTGTGCCATGCTTTATTACCTTATGCTGACTCCTTGTGTATTTATTCTTCACTCTGGCATGCTGCTTCTGGACTGTTAAATCAGGAAAAGCTTGGGCTGTCCTACTTCAGCCTGTCTTACTCCCTAAAAGCATTTAGACCACTTGCAGTGTTCCAGGTATAAAAGAGAAATGGAAATGGATTCTCCTAAAAGAGCTCTTGACTAGGCTTTAGAGAGGAATAAGGCTGGCCTTTGTCTTCACCTGATCTCTTGTAGTATTGCAATGGCAAAAAAAAGTACTAGAGAGCAAGTGTAGTTTTGACAATATATGAACCACAGTTGTCTTTAGAGGGTGGTTACTGTGTAGATTAATCAACCAGATCAATAACTTGTTGTTATGTGGTCTTGGGAGAAATGTGGAAATGGGAATATCTGTTCCTATCTTAATGTGATCCAAACATTGAAGTGAAAACAAAGGAGATCAATTTTATGTATAAATTGGGATTTCTTTCTGCTACACCATATAAATAGTCTTTTGCCTCATTTTGCCTCACTATAATAGTATTTGGCAAAATAGTAGTATTAACAAGTTGTTTTAAATTCTTTAATCTGTAAAACCTGTTTTAATGATTTATATGACACTCATAAGTGAGTATTAAAGAGTTAGTTGAAAGTTACCTAGGTGCATCTAAAACTGATAGAGCAATGCATCTTGTTACACATTGACAATGAATTTTAGTTCAATGTGATTGTGAAGACTGAAATCTGTTGGCTAATCAGAGCTGTTTCTGAAGGAGATATTTTTATAGAACAGTTTTCAGAGTTGTAAATATATATTTGTGTATTTTACTCCTGCTAAGCTTGTAATACCAGTGCAGCTAAATTGAGTGACTTCTTCTTATCCCATCTGTTTGTCTTTAATAGGCTCATTTACTGAGCTCTATTGGTTTGCACCTGCTTGACCTCACTTGATGATTATGTTTCTTCCTTTTCTGAGCAGACTCCTAGTCACAAGTCCTTTGGAGCCTACATCAGTGCTGCACTTTGCAACTTCAGCTTAAGCATTTTCACAGCAATTAAATGTGATTACAAAAGCAGCTAAAATGTAGAATCTGTGGAATCTGGAAGGCAGCTCTGGAAATGGAAGATTTCCAGAATCCAATTTTTGGTTTAGTAGTTCAGTTATCCTGCACATCTGAAATACATTTCACTCTCTGAGAAAGGTGATGTGATTGCATTCCCTCAACTTATTTTGCCTCTTAGATATTTTAAACCACATATGTGCTCCATGTATTTTTTTCTGCATGATGTTTAAAGAATATGCCACATCAGTAAGGATTTGTAGGAGACAAAGTAGTAAGTGGTTAAGAACAAAAGGCATCTCTGGGCAGTCTTATGTGAACAGTATATAAAGTAGAAATGGTCAAAGAAATATCCAAGTAAAAATAATGTGACAGTATAAGAAAATAGGCATAGAACTCAAAATTAATTTCAGTAACCATTTTCCTTTTGCCTGTGCAAACATGAGCAATCTGTTGGTCAACCTCATTAGAAGAAGTTTATGGTCGTTTAGTAACAACTTACTTGCATAGATAACTGATGCCCAAGAAGTCAAGAAAAATGGACTATTGAGTAGTGATAGTATGTCTATTTAAATGTTATTGTGAATACCATGAAGGGATTTGTGTTATCTTAATTTTTCTCTTTATTTTATTACAAGGGTTGAGGAATTTACATAGCTGTTGAAGAAAATAAAGATGTGGTCTTAGATGATCAGGCAGCCATCTGTGAAGACAAGAAAACTGGGTTGTTCTCTTAGACTTTCCTCTGTCTGGTCCTTTTAAAACTGGGAGGATGCACAGACAAGCCATCTTTTGGTACGAGCTCTCATGAAGCAAGAAGCAGACTTGGAAGTGCTAAAATTGAATGGAATGCACCACTTTTAGTGAGAGAGGGTTGTTGGAGGGAATTTCGTGTGGCAGTTCTGATTGGGTACCCTTTACTGGGATTCAGAAGACTGCAGCAAAGTAGTCCCTAAAATCCCCTCCAGTGGGAAGCCTCTCTTATTTTAAATGCAGAAATGTGTCACAAAATCCCAGCTTTGTTGAGAGCATATTTGTCGTGTCCTTTTATGCATACACTGGGCTGTTGTAACTAAAAATATTTTAAAATTGCAACCTGGCATCTGGAAGAAAAGCACATATATGGTGCCAATATATTTTCTTCTTCCTAGACAGTAATAGTTTTGATTAGTTCAGCTGTTTGCCCTGTATATATTTTAAAAAAGAAACTAATCCTGTTTTGTTTTTAAATATTACCCTTATAAATGGGGTTCCACTCAGAATTAATATTTCTGATTGGCATTTAGACTGCATATAGATCTTACCATGTGGCAATACTCACTCATTGTACTTGTGTTGTAAGGTGAAGTCTGGGGAAGAGTTCAGGAGAAGAGTGGACAAGTTCACTGAAGAAATATCCTCTGAGAGTACTGAGTAAGTAGACTTCTGGTTGAAGAAGTTCCCAAGCTGCAGACAAATGGAGGCCAAGAAAATACCTAGGAGAAGTACTGTGTGTGCTTGTCCCTTCATATACCCTTCATTTCCTAACTATCTGCTCTTGGCCACCGTTGGAGGCAGGGTAATGACCTAGATGGATCTTTTTCTACCCTAGTATGATCACTCTTACTTCCTTATGTTTGTGTGGTGACAGGATGACAATATTTGTAATCACAATATCAATACACAGTGAATGATTTATAGACATAGCTCAGGTCTAAGCCTCTCAATGAAGCCAACAGTATAGAATAGAACCAATCTAAGGGAGGTTGTGCAGCCAGGTCCATTCATGGCTTTAGGGTGGCTATGCAAATGGAATTCCCTAAAAATAACTCCAGTGTACATTAAAGCAATTGGAATGTGCTAAAAGGACTGGAATAATCAATAGGAAAGACCAAAGCCAATGTAACTGACTGGAAACTTTTCATGAACCTAATTTCAAAAAATAATGAAACAGAAAACAGCAAGAATCAAAGTGGTTGATGGTATATAGAAACAACATGGAGGAAGAAAATCAGAAAGATAGAGGAACCAAAATACAAGTCTTGTAATGAAACTAGAAAACTAATACATGTTATAACTTCCTTCTTTTTAATTTATTAATTTATTAATTTCATCAGGGTGTTGAGGGAGGAAAAATCTTAAGCAGATATCAGAGGGCAGTGGTGTGGGAAATGGAGCTCTGCAGCTGCTGCAGCCCCTGCATAGAGTGCTGGGGCCATAAAACTCTCCAGACACATAAAGAGGAGGAAGTGGTGACAGGTGATCATAAGTAAGGGACAGGAAGGGAAATGTTATTTTTTCAGAGACACCTCTGTTTGATGTAAACTTTGTGGTTGTTGATCCTCTGTACTGTGTTTTTGATCCTCTGGCCTAATACCAGCTTAGGGCTTGGCTGTCTTGGAGCTGTAGGGACACGCAGAAAGTGCTGAATTCAATACAGAATGTTGTTTACACCAGCATTTGGCACATTTGTGCCATGGAGGTAACAGTGCTGCTTCCTATGTCACATTTCACTTTTGAGCACTGGAATACTATTAGAAAGAGGAAAGATGAAAGAGGATCCAGGGAAGTGAAGATGGAAGTTCTGGGAGACATTACCTCAGCTGAGGGGAAACCTGGGTAAATGGATTGAACCGGCTAGAGGAATGGATTTATAATTATTTGCAAATATTGGGGTCATAACATTGAACACCA